GGGGGGGGAATTAAAGCAAACACAATATAAAGCTTACTGATTGCTAATTGCTTACCTTTCTTTCGGGTTTTTGGATCTCTGGCAGCACAGCACAGAAAGGCTTTATCACCTCCAAGAATTTGACTGAAAACAAACAAACAAAGAAACAAACATGAGTAAAAAGGTGATCATATCTGGTTATCATCAGCGGGACGTGGTAATGAATGGGGGGCGGACTTTACAGACAAATGTGAATGTACCAACAATGTACCTGGAGTAAAGCAAAGCTTTGAAAAAAAAAATCAGTTTCCTGTTGTTATGTCAAATCTTTACAGTACCTCTACAACCTACATGTTTCTAGTAATGCAAGGCAGGAAACAGGAACAGCGAACTCACAAAAAACAGAGCGTCTTATGCGTCGTCATCACTAGACTGTCAATGTCTTTGAATGAGTGGCTAACAAGTTAGCGTAAAGGTCTCGAAATAAAGCCACTCACCGTATCGCTTTTAAAGGATATCTACATACTAGAAAACTAGTTTTCCAAAATATCACCTAGTTATTAAGCTAAACCCTACAACTACTTCTCATTAGAAATATTTTCATAACAGGGAAAAAACCATTTATCAACCAGGAAGCTAGCGACTAAATGCTAGCTGCATGCGATCAATGCCAGTTGCTAGTTACCGTTAGCTAACTAAGTTGTCAAAAACACATAAAACACTGTTTCAGTTTTGCTCCTCGTTTTTTGCAGATCACAGTCTTAAAAATCATGTGCCAAAGTGAAACTTACTGCCCATGATGTCCCAACTGGTCTCTTTGTACGGTTCTTCACAGTGGAAATGAGACCAGCTTGAGCCTGAGTAACTGAGCCACCGGGAGGAAAAGGAGGAGACACGTCATCACTACAGACACAAAGACCAGCGATTTAAAGAGACAGCGACCTTTTAACTGAACATCACATATCACAGTTGCAATACAAAGAAACGAAGAACAAATATGAAAAGCTACATTTTAATAGACCTACTTTAATTTTTGACATACTTGTGTAACAACCCCGGAGCCTGACAGTCCCAGAGAAACAGAGGGACAATATTTTTCAGCTGCTACTACTGAAGTTAAAGTTACAAATTGTAAAATATCGCCACTTGATGTCAATAGATTGCAGAGTGCAGTCAAATGAATTTATCCCTTCCAATTCAAGAGCATAACGATGCCATTATGCTCGCCGTGTTGCCTGTGTCATGCGCGCTGATTCTGATGTCACGTCTTGTGTCCTGTCCACTGGGCAGTCCAGCACCTCTCGATTTTTGTAACCTGGCGCACTGTGCCGCAGCTTGGTTGAAGTAACAAGTGTACAATCGTGTCAGATTTTATTGCCATTTTAGTGGAGTTGTTGGAAAAGTTGGAAAACGTTACAACAACAAAAAACGTTAGACAACATCTTGGCTTTGACCTTTTTCCTCTCCTCCGGGCTTATGATAGAGTAATTTTAGGAAACTCAAGCCAGATTTTAGCTGGCATAACCAGCCAGGCTTGTAACCAACCAGTTGGACATGTCTAATCTGCTGACAGTAAGTAATTGCAACAATAATGGGAATAAATAAGCATGTTTATGCATATTTTCACGTGTAACAGTTCAGTTCAGGAAATAAATCTTGATGTGATGAGGAAGAAAATATTTTTTTAAATAGATTCTAGTTGCATTGTCTCTTTCCTTTGCATTTTTGATTCTTTGGTTAAAGACTTTCAGCGGAGCAGCGGTAGAAGACGGTCAGCAGCTCCTACTTCAGGTCCATTTTTCTGAGGATTCTCAGAAAGTGGAGACGCTGTTGGGCCTTCTTTAAAACCGCAGAGGTGTTAGAGCTCCATTGGAGGTCTGTGTCTATGTGCACACCCAGGAACTTGAAACTGGACACCCTTTCCACGCACTCCCCGTTGATGCTGACAGGCTGCAGCTCGGACTTCCTTCTGAAGTCAACTACCAGTTCTTCTGTCTTGGTGGTATTGAGGTCCAGGTTGTTGTCTACACACCAATCTGTCAGCCTCTGAACCTCAGCTCTGTATGCCGTCTCATCTCCCCCTGAGATGAGCCCCACCACGGTGGTATCATCTGCAAACTTAATGACTGCGTTGTCTGGGTGGGAACTAACACAGTCATGTGTGTACAGAGTGTACAGGGGAGTACTCAGTACACAGCCTTGTGGAGAGCCAGTGTTAAGGCTGAGGTTGAGGAAAGATGAGGCCCCACTCTAACTCTCTGTACACGGTCTGACAGGAAGTCTCTGATCCAGCGGCAGGTGGTAGAAGGAAGTCCAATATCCAGCAGTTTAACTATTAGTCTGTCTGGGAGTATCGTATTTAAAGCAGAGCTAAAGTCAACAAAGAGCAGCCTGGCATAACGCCCTTGTTGTTCCAGGTGAGAGATAGTGGTGTGGAACGTTGTAGCAATGGCATCTTCAGTTGGTCTGCTAGCTCTGTGTGCGAACTGGAGCGGGTTGAGTGTGGGTGGCAGGCAGGACATGATGTGATGTTGGACCAGTTTCTTGAAGCACTTCATTATAACAGGTGTTAGAGAAACTGGTCGGTAGTCGTTGAGGCTGCTAATGTTGGTATGCTTTGGCAGTGGGACAATTGTGGCTGACTTTAGGATACAGGACTGGGAGAGTGAAGTGTTGAAGATCTTAGTGACGACCCCAGCCAGCTGGTCTGCACATTCTTTTAGAACCCTTCCGGTCACCCCGTCTGGACCTGCGGCCTTCCTGGGGTTCACTGCCCTCAGTGTGCACCTCATCTCATATTCCTGCACCACGAGGCTTTGGCTGCTGCTGCTGTCCGATTTAGCAGTTTAACACTCAAAAGAGGCTATTTCATAATGACTTATTTTATTCTGAGGGTATATAATACAAAGTACTACAATATTAAGCATTAACTTCATCATAAACTGTACAAAATATTACTATTTTGCTTAAAATCGACCTGACTACTTGTTCCTCCACTGCTGAAACATGACTTTCTCCACCAGAGGGCAGCGCTGACCAGAGGCAAAAATGTAGCTCAGGCAATACAGGGTTGTCAAGAAAGTGATACTGCTCCTTTTGAGTTTCACTTTCAACAAAGGCAAAATAATATACACAACGGAGTTTACAGAATAACCAGAGCAGTTGATAGTGTCAGTAAAGGCAAAACAATAGGCCAGCATCAGTATTAACAATGATGAATAAGATTAATATATCTGCTCTTTCTTTTTAAGTGGTGTGCAATGACGTCAGCATATACAAGGGTTCCACTATTTATGCTTTGATTTGATGCTCCTGGTTTAGATACAAATAGCATTTAAAGGTAACAACATTAAGTAATTAAAGTGGCGATTTGTTGCAACCGCAAACAAGGTTTTGATCTACATGGAGGTGAAACACATAGTAACTTCGAGGATGTTCTTGTTTCTTCTAGTCATTTCTTTTTTTAATTCCACATTTTCCAGATCAGTTTAAAGAGGACCTATTATACCAATTCCCCATTCTTAGACTGGGCTTTAGTGCAGCCTCTTAACACCAACTGTCTAAAACTACTCTCACTTTAAGTGAGAGGCAACCCTCCCTGCAACTTTAACTTTCTCCTGATTGGCTGCCTCTCACAAACACAAGATTTGACCAGGACTTTTATATACTGCAAGACTGTCAGATCCATCCATCCATTTTCTCTTTCACTTATTTGGGGCTGGGTTGCAGAGGCTAAGCAGAGAGGTCCAGACCTCCCACTCCTTAGCCACTTCCTCTAGCTTATCCACGGGGACATTGAGGTGTTCCCAGGCCTGCCAAGCAATATAATCTCTCCAGTGTGTGTCCTGGGTCTGCACTAGGGCCTCCTTCCAGTGGGAGATGCCCAAGACACCTTACCCAGGAGGCACCCAGGAGGTACCCTAATCAAATACCTAAACCACCTCTTTCAGCATTGAGGAGTAGCACACAATATCATAGTACATTGTCAGATCTCAGAATTATTCATACATTTTATTTAATTCTAAAAAGAAGATATTAGTGTCTTGAACAAAAATTTTTGAACTAGTGCCCCAAAACATTATATGAATTGTAAACGTGACTTGTGACATGGTCACTGTGAACGCAAATACTCAAGCTGAACAAAAACACATGCAAAGAAAAGTTCCTTGGCAGCTGGTGTTGCACAAGAGTCTTTGATTTCATTGAAATATGAGCATGAAGGAATTTTGAGTTCCTTGGACTGATACTGGTGAATGTTTGTTCTCCTTCCTTTTTGTCTCACATTCATCTCATTCCTTGTTTTGTTCCTGGAGGCCCGCCCTCCTCTCATGCAAGTCTGCCAGTTAATTCACCTCCATGATCAAGGAACTGACCTCCCAGCCCATTGTTCATTCAGTGGTGCTAGTTTCAGTCATTGTGCAATGTACTGTTTATAAGGTTGGGGAAACGTTTCTCCCACTGCAAACGCTACGTCCAGATGAACAGAATCAACCTTTAGGGATTTACTTACCTGGATGGTTGAGCATGCATCAAGACATTAATTTACCTGCCATCAAAAACCAGGACACTCACAGCATACAGACATCAAAAGATCCACATTTTTCTCTAATTTAAATGAATTTGTGTGTGTTTGAACTGATTTGCATGTTTGTGTGTGTAAAACAGATGGTCACACTAATAGCTGACTGTGAGAGAGATAGAGTTAGTCGCCAGGGGATTTATAAGGCCACATGCTGATGTTCTGTGCCTGTACCCCACGGATTGTCTGTCAGTAAGGAGAAGCTTGTTGAGGAGAACTTGCTGAAGCTTGTTTAGCCAGCATACTGGTTTATTATGCTGTAAACCCTCTACATACTGATTTAAATTTGGGTTCACTTGCTCTAAAGTTAGCCAAGCCTTCACTGCTCAGAATAAACAGGCTGTGTCTCAGGCAAAGACCTGATCTGAACTCTTGGTGACCCACAGACTGCTAACATATAGTATTTCACTAGGTCTGTTTAAAATGTAACTGCTACATATACGGTACTAACGTCAGTGTGTTATAACTGGTTGATTTAAATTGTTCCTGTAATCCTCTGCACTGATCCAGCACACAGAAGAACGCCATGTCCTCGACCCTAAACTCCAGGCTAGATAAACCCTAATGACCAAAGAGCACTAGCTCCTCTCTGAAGGAAATTTCCTACGTAGTCTTAAGAGGGTTGACGAAAAATAATTAAAGCTGGTAGCAAGAGCATAATCTTGGAGAAGTTCTGAAAACCAATTAAAAGGATTAAAGAGCTATACACGGAGATGAGAAGCTCTGTGAAGCAATGCAGTTAACACAGCAAACACAGCAGTGCTTTGAGCTAAATACCAACAAAAACAATGCTGACTTTTAGTTCAGTGTGTTAGCATGCCATGATAATTATCACTGAAAACAAAGCACAGGATTGTAAATAGTTTTGCGTCAAACACTGTCATTAACTTAGTGCCATCACATTATTATATGTTGTGTTATGGTGGGAAAAATCGCATGTTCAACCTGATAAACATGATCCACAAAGCAACAGGAATGTCCAGGAGTTGTTGTTATGTATGTCAATTTTCTGGTCCACTAAAATCTGCAAGATACAAAACATAGGACTCATGAACATCTGTAGAAAATTTCCTAGTGATTGATCCAATAACACAAGAAATTTGTGTCTGAAACACCTACTGCTGCCGTTTGGTCACACTCACTTTACAAATAGAGATCACAGAGTTTAAGGAGCATATATAAATATGTCTTTGGGTGTCTTATTTAGCAATAAAACTTTGTAAATAATGGCACATTTAAATGTCAGTATAACAAAATGGGGACAGAGTCGTTGTGTATTTTCTCTTTTTTTGCTTCTGTCCTCCTAATCTCATTGGGCCTGCAGGAAGACTAGCAACCACT